CCCATATTGAGGGGGTTATGGAAAAATATGAAATCCGCCATTTTGTACCGGCGGCCATCTTAGATTTACAATGTTATTGATATTACTATATTGTACTGTCATCGGAACTAAAGGTGTGTACCAAATTTCAGATCAATCTGACAACAGAAAGGTATTTAAATTTCAATTTCTAATTTTGACCCAAATAAACAAACAAATAAATAAATACCGTACGGGTCGAGCTAAATAAAACCGTTTAAAAACATATTTTTTGTTACGTGCGAAATACTTTTGATACTTTCTAGCAGTCGAAATCAAACTCTTCTAAATAAGTCGTGATACTATCTCTTACTGTTCTTACTTCTGAAGTTATTTTGAAGTTTCTATAATATTGAAATTTAAATATGTTATTTTATTATTTAGTATAATATTGCTGAATGTATTAGTTATATTTTTTTGTGTTATGTTTTTATAGGCATTTGCATCTTTAATTGAAAACGTTTTTTTTTCAAATTTAGTTAAGTTGGTTTCGAGGTTGGTTGACTTAATAATTTGATATTATTTTCATTTGAAACTCAATTTTTTATCGGTTTTACTTTTTAGAACCATCCCTTGCTTGCTAATTGATGAATTCCACAATCCACAATTGAACGAAAATATTTGAGTACCGTTCCGAAAACTCTAATTAATACTACCAATTAGGGTTCAGATCTTTTTGGGCATCACAGAAGCGGGCCTCGGTAAAAATAATTAAAAAATTATTTTTTTCTTACGTGAGAAAGTCCTTTGATACTTTCTAGAGGTCGAAATCAAACTCTTCTAAATAAATAATAATGATGCTATTTCTTATTGTTCTTGCTTCTTTTCTCTTTTGAAGTCCCTATAATATTTATTATGTTATGTTTTAATGGATATTTGCATTTTTAATTCAATATTTTAGGGAATTTGTCTCAAATCCAGTTAAGTTGGTTTATGCTGTTTGATGTGAAATTTAAGTTACCTATACTTTTTTCTTTACTTGTGTTCATGTTTGTGTCATGTTGATTTTTGCATTACTAATTGCTTAATAATTTGATATTATTTTCATTAAGAATCTCAATTTTTTATCCATTTTACTTTAAAAAACCATCCCTTACTTTCTGATGGATAAATTGTATACTTGTATTCATTTAAAACTTCCCAATATGGCGGACTTCAGTATGGGAGGCTTAAAAAACGAAAATCTCTAAACTGGAACCGACTGTAGTTCAAATAGATAATCTGTGGTAAATCCAATTGAACTCTGGCACTTGGCTGACATTGACGTTTACGGTTCCGTTTTCTAAATATTTTCATTATTTTTTGAGATTTATTCACAGATTCTACTTGATTTTGTTCTTTTATTTAACCTGCAGCCTGCAGTACTAATTATATAGTTATAAATAATCTTTTCACCTATCAAGAACTGAGGAATAGTCTGGAAGATATTCAAAATGTGTAAAACGCTTAAAAACGTATTAGAAAACATCGACTCGTCCACAAATTCGTGAAAATAAATTACATAGTCCAGATGTTTGTAAAAAGGCCTATAATTATTTTGAGAAGTTTCCTCGTATCAGTAATTTTCAGGTTTGTAATATGTAATATGATAATAAATATATTAAAACTTATATTTCAGGAAACAGCGCGGGTATTACAGATTGTTGTAAATCAGTTTTAAAATATAAAGAAGGTTTAAAAAAGGTTCAAAAGTTGAGTTAGTAGAGAAGACCTAAATAAGGCAATGTTGGTAATGGGACCAAAGATCAAATAACGCTTGAAATATATAATATGTACAATAATTGTAAGTAGTTTTTATGAATCTGTTTTATATCTATTGCATTGTTTTTATATTTCTTGAAATATATATTTTTTTACTTTACAGGATACACAAAGAATAATATAAAATACAGTTACTCACTAAAAGCACTTAAGGTTTGTACTAAATGTAGTTAGAATATCAAACACAAACATCAAACCAAACCAAAAATAATGTTTATTTTACTGGTATTCCTCACATTTGAAAGGAAAGTCATTTCATAAATAAGCAGAAGGACAATGTATAGTACACTCTAATAATTAATATATAAAAATTCTTAAATAATAATTCTTTTTTATCCTATACTTGTTAGTTGACGCATCACTTACTATGAACCACAGTGAGACACCGTCTCTGAGACAACTGGTTGTGACATAGTTTGAGGTGTTTCTGGCAATTTAAAATAAGTAAATATTTAAACAAACATTTATGGCTTTCCTGACAGGAGTGTGAACACAAATTTAATAAAGGTATAACGTGGATAATGTTCTGATTATTACAGTTTGCATGGATGTTTTTATATGTTGTTATTTTTAATAAAGTATATTTAATGAGTTTTTGAGTATTTCTTTTTCCCTCAAAGGATTGTGTTCTAATCTTTATATATAAATTTTCATAAATTATATCTACAAAATTTATTACCTTATATCTTTTTGCTAAAGACTTTGTAGTTGATACAGTTTAACAGTATATAAAAGAACTATTTAAATAAGATGTTTGAAAATATATAGCTGTTTTTGCACACATCAATTCATTTTGTGATTAACTGTACTGAAATAAAAACAAATTAAGAGAAATAGGGCTATCAACTATAACATGAAACGCATCATCCTATTTCCAAGTCTTCTATTAATTTCACTTATTAAACAAATATTATTATTCAATAATCTTGATAATTCTAGGAACTCTCAGGTATGAAAACAAAAATTCACTTCCAATAGTTCTTTACGTTCCTTTATCTGAAATATAAGAAACAGGGGAGTTAGTATTCTCACTGAGAAAGTTTATAAAATACCTTTAAGTAAAATATCTTCGGATCTGCGGTAAAATACCTTTATTCTTATTAAATAATTTCAATAATCTATGTTTTTATTTATGACAACCACCGAATAACCTAATTTTAACGTCAACTTGACAATCCTGAAAAATGTTATTGTTAACCCAAGAGTAAATCAATTTCTGAATTCGATAACGCCAACTTATTTTTCATTAAAAAAAAATTACCAATTTTCGTAACTAGGTCGGCCATATTGAGGAACTTTTAAAAGAATTGTACTATATTTGAAATTGAAAACATATAAATTGACGGTAACCTATGTTTTTTGACTCATTTTACTGACAAATGCAGATAAATGTGATGAGATTGTTATTGTAATTTATAGATCCAAACGTTTTTTGAATAAATAATTTATTTTAAAGTTATTTCCTAGAGGTTTGGTTTGGCCTTCTATATTCTGGTATTTGTCTACTAATAAATAATATTTTATTTTGTATTTCGATGTATGGAAATTCGCAAATTTTGTATCTGAAGCCGCAAAGAAATTTCGCTCTATAGTGAGAAAAATGTTATATGTTTTTAGACGCGTAGAATAACAAAATTTCTTATTTCAGATGTTCTAAATGTGAGTGCTTAATGTCAAAAATTAAAATATATACTTGAAATATTATTTCAAGTTACATGCTTTGACATTGTTTGGAAGTAAACAAATATTGAAGAAAGTGTTGTGCCTTCACAGAATTTAAATTGGCATTAGGAATAGATTTCCTTGATTTAGTAATGATATTGCTCATAGAAATTGATGATATACTATTTTATATTCACTCGTTCAAGTGCTGATCTATTTTTAAATTGAATATTTATGTAAATATTATGTATAACACGATATAAATAATTTAAGGACATAAGAAATTAATATTTCAAGTGTCAATATTGATTATTTTTCCAGTTTTATTCAAATATATTGAAATTAATATGGAAACAAAAGTTCATAAATATTATTCTTAATAACAAGAATTGAGATTTGGGGATAAGTTTGAAAAGCCATGTCAGAAGAGTAGGATTAAAGACAAGTATTAAGGTAACATATATTTGCATAAAGTTTTAATAACACTGACAATTTTATTTGTTTATGTTTATTAATTAAAATTTAGTTGCAATTTATTTCATAGTCTAATATATTTGAGAAAATTTTACTTATATACATACCTGAATATTATGCTGCTTTTTTATTTTAAAGTGTGCCGACTGTGCTGTTATTTTTATACTAGTAATATTGTATACTGTAGGTATCGTATTCATATATAGTTATATATATATATCAGTAGTATAGATACTTACTTTCTTTCTATGCGTACTTATATCCTTTATAGTCTTTCTAAGTGCATATAATACTACTTTTTTAAGAGAAGGCAGTTTTTAATAATCTATTGTTAATTCCCCTAATTCTGTGTCCCCTGGTTCTGCTATACAACAATTATATATTTTTTTATCATTACTGATTTTAAAAGTTTCTTTTCAAAGAATTTGACCATATATTTTTTTTTCAGAGTAATTGGGCTGTTCCTGAACAATATTGAATATAAATATTCAAAAATATGATAAACTGCATATCCTACTAAGTAGATCAATACCAAAATTCCATTAGAGAAATAAGTTAAAATTATGTTTTACTTGTATAATTTTCTTGCTATTTGTCCACCATTATTTGTGACTTAGAAATTAAATAGTCAAAAAGAATTTAGTACCAGTTTTTATTTCCCAAAAAAAATAATTGTTAAATAATTACATATTGCTTAAGATACAGTATATTATATTGTGTTTATAGTTGATAATTCTAGTTCTTAGTTGTTTATAGTTGATAATTAACAATATTTCTGATGTTAGATATTATATTAGATAAAAAATTTAATTACCAACAGCTACCTACCTATGTAGCTGCAGATTATATATTGTGTAGTAGGTACTGTATAATTCTTTAGTTCAAGAAACAAATATCAGTACAAGTATATAACCAAAAAAATGTTAATGCAAATACTTTGTATAACATACGTACCCCTATGGTATTCAACTTTTCATTGTTCTTTTAATTAGATACACAATAAGCACATTAATTCGTTTATTAAACAACCAAAACTAACTACTTAAATTCACAATATATATATCACAATAAATGTATAAGCTTTGATCAATTCCTATTATTAATACCTGACGACTTCATACTTTATAACTACCAATGGCTATCCTACTAACACACTAGCCAACTAATAATAAATCTGTTCTAAAAAAATACAACATAAAGACATCGCTATTGCAATAATATAGAAATATATTCCATGTATCATTAACTACCTATAAATACAATACCCACATCTTCTTTTACGCGAATAGTGCGTTAGGAGGCAGAAATATTGCCTGCATTGTACATCGTACAAATTGGCTAGAATTTATTAATATCCATTGCAAACATTTCTCTTTCAAAGGGTCTAAATGTTTTGTCTTTTTACTGTGTCCCTGTAATATGTTATCAATTAACAACAGTTATCAAATATGACCTGCACAATAATAATTGTTTTACCTTTTTTTGAAACTAAACTCTTTAAACAAACTATATAAATAAAATTTATCTCATAACCTAACTTACTGCTAGAATTTCTTTCTTGTTATTCTATGTTCCTGTATTGTTATTCTTCACATTATCAATTTCTATGAGCAATATTATTACTAAATCAAGGAAATCTATTCCTAATGCCAATTTAAATTCTGTGAAGGCACAACACTTTCTTCAATATTTGTTTACTTCCAAAAAATGTCAAAGCATATAACTTGAAATAATATTTCAAGTATATATTTAAATTTTTGACATGCACTCACATTTAGAACATCTGAAATAAGAAATTTTGTAATTCTACACGTCTAAAAAGATATAATAACATTTTTCTCACTATAGAGCGAAATTTCTTTGCGGCTTCAGATACAAAACTTGCGGATTTCCATACATCAAAATACAAAATAAGATATTATTTATTAGTAGACAAATACCAGAATATAGAAGGCCAAACCAAACCTCTAGGAAATAACTTTAAAATAAATTATTTGTTCAAAAAACGTTTGGATCTATAATAACAATCTCATCACATTTGTCTGCATTTGTCAGTAAAATGAGTCAAAAAACATAGGTTACCGTCAATTTATATGTTTTCAATTTCAAATACTCGACGCTCATTGGTCGTGACGAAATCGTCCTCCTCGACAAAATACGGCATTTTTTCCAACATAGCCCGCTATAGGGAGTTGAATATCCTTCTTCTATATATCCTTGTGTTAACCCAAGAGTAAATCAATTTCTGAATTCGCTAACGCCAACTTATTTTTCATTAAAAAAAATTACCAATTTTCGTAACTAGGTCGGCCATATTGAGGAACTTTTAAAAGAATTGTACTATACTAGTTTTGGATTTTTTACATATCTTTGTTTCTCATCGAGATAGAAAAAAAAACGAAAGGAAAATGAAAAAATATATTTATTATTATATTTAGCATATCTATCTAAATTATATATTATATAAATATATATAATTATATATATTATATAAAAATAATTATATATATTATATAAAAAACCTATCTATTAAGCACAAAAAAGCAAAAGAAAATATAAAGAATAAAAAAATGACAATGCCTAAAGATGGGCTTGTTCTCTACACACTTTTTTGCGCATTCCAAACAAACTGTTCTCTTCACTTTCTTCGATATTAGTTTACTGATCGTTCACATCCATATTTTCATCATCTATAACAAAACATACACAGCTACATACCATTAGATATGAGTTCCAGTCTCTTCAAACCACTTTAGAGGAGTATCCTTGTAATTTTTCTTGCCATACTTTACATGTTTTGAGCTAGTAGGTGCTTGATTCATTAAATAATTTAAAAAAAAACCTTACGTTAACGCTAACAATCCGTCTGTCAGACGGCATCGACAGTTTGAACTAAAATAGTTCGAAAACTACACACTATCGCAACTTTAACTTGTTTTGATGCGTATTGAAATTACATAGTTGGATGATAATTAGAAGTGGAGAGGAGAAGAGATGTCATATGTCCAGCTAGTCCGTTGCGTCTGTGAAACGGGGTGTTAGTACTTAAGGATTAACTTTGCCAGTGACTCACTCGCCGTCATCAAAATTCAAAGGTATTTCTAGAATGAATCACACACTTCCTTTTTCGAATTTTAGGTAGATTTAAGCTTATAATGGAAAGGAAAAATGAAAAATCTCGAAATATCCTTATGAATCAAAAGTTAGCTGTCTGGTCGCTACCGGTAACCGACTTTCCAGCAAAGGTAATAGGAAGACCGGTGACAGGATTGTTTTGAAAATTTGGATTTTTATATAAAGGTACATGCTCCATCTTAAGAATGACTTAAGAATAAAATGGTTCCATCATGTCTCAAACGTATCCGTCCTTGAAAAAGCTAACTGCGAGAGTATTGAAGTCATGATTACAAAGTCCCGCTTAAGATGGGCTGGTCACGTATGCAGAATGCAAGAAAACCGCATACCAAAATCTCTGCTTTACGGTAAGCTTTTAGACGGTAAAAGGAGGCCGGGTGGACAACGCAAAAGGTACAAGGATATTTTCCACGAAAACTTAAAGGGAATTAACAAGCAGAATGAGTGGGAAGAGGCAGCTCACAATAAAACGGAATGGAGAAGAATTGTAAAGTAAGTTAACAGCGCCAATCAAAGAGTAAAGAGGCAACAAAGCAATGAGATTTTTGAATGTCTGGAGTGCGGTAGACAGATAACATCACGTATCGGTCTTTTCAGTCACAGAAAAGCTCATGAAAGAAAACGCCTTGCGTGACCATCTTCTGACGCGTGTCAAATACTCGTCAGCAAGTAATGGCAGTATGTATGTAGTACATGCTCCATCTATCTAAAATATTATCAGCGTCATAGTGTTGCCGGATCATTTGAAAAATGGTAGCATCTTTGTTATTTTAAATGGAACACCCAATATATTATTACATTTTTGGAAATTACTCTCATATCTCATAATTTCTTTATTATACTAATCTATACTCTCTTATAGTTTTCGAGATAAAAAATAAAATATGTATAAAATTGACAAAAATATGATTTTGAATAAGCATTGGTAAAATCATGAATTGAACATTTTTAAAGTTGATATTTGGGTTATAACGAAAGTCGGAAATAAAAGTCGTTAGAAAACTAGAATTAATTCATTTGATATGATATGATTTTATACCATAATTTAAAGTTTATGAATTATTGCTAGTCAAACTCCTTTTTTAATATTATTTTGAATCATATATTACCCGAGAAAAAAAAATAGGACGATAACCTACAAAAAGGAATGAGATCCCATCAAAAACATAGAATGTAAAAAAATACCAGGTCTGGCAACAATTCTTCCACTATAAAAAGTTGTGTGATCTCATGTAAAACCAAGTCAGTTTATTTTATTTAGTCTCTCTTTAAGCACCTATGCAACAATTTTGTTATAAATTGTTAGTATCAGTATCAGTCATCTTTATTTCTGTAATAATTACAATGACTTGGCAATTGCACGATATGATGATTCTATATTATCTACTAATTAAAAAACTTTATTTTTTATTCTTGTGTCTTTACTTAGTAATCGAAATAGTAGATTATTCTTTTATAATTATGGTACCGTTGTCATAAATTATTAGCAATGTCTAGGGCTTGTCCTCGCCAAAATTATCATATATTTTGTGATAAAAACTTTCCTTTTATTGAAAATTTAAGTCAAAATGTTGCAAACGGCTACTCCTATGTCGGAGGCGGTGGGAACAAGCTTTTGCTTCTGCATTTAGCTAAAAATATGATACCTACCTATATCTTATACTGCATACCAAAGGGCGCCACTTATTTCAAAAAGATGCTAATACTTACAAAGGATAGTACAAACTGAAATAAGAAAATTTGTACAAGTGTATTAATTGAATGGAAACTAAAATTAGAATAGCTATTAAATATTTTGAGAAACTGGATCAACCAATGAAACAATTCAAATACCCAAAAAATAAGACATTTCTTGTTAGAAATTATTCAGTACCTATTGGCACAGCAGTTATGTACATTAGTATACAATATGTCTAAGAAACTCTATCTTAAAACTTGTTTAAAATCAAATTATATCTTTTCAAATATTATTCAAACAATTATAATATAAAAGGAATACTTTTAGAGACGGCCTTGGTTATATTCGAATAATAAATATTTAAATTTGACTTGACTTATTACGAAGATTCATGAACCTTTTTGTTTATATATAGTTAAGGGAAAAAAGATTAAAATCTGTACCCAAGATTGCCCTTACAGGTCAAAGATCGTAATGATATAAAAGGTTAACATAAATAGATGTTAAATCCGAATAATCAATCAATATAATATGGTTACTTAATAATCAAATACAAGTAAAATTTAAGCAGTACTGAAGGTAAATACTTAAAGTGTTAAAAAAATATAAAATGTAACAGAACGTTAAATTTTATTAAGGGTTAAAGTAATGCTGAAGGCAAGTACTTAACCAGTTAAATGTAAAATGTTAAGAATAGTTAATTTCTTAACACACTAATGATTATTTAAAATCAAATTAATAAAATTTTAGTTTACTATAAAAAATATACTGGCCTTGTATACCAAATTATACTAAAAAAAGGATCTTCTTAATAATACAAAACCATCACAGCATCCAACTCTTCCTTAGGGGGGTGCAGGGCTGAAATCTAACCGAACAGGCTGCTACTGATTAACTCGGCGATAGGAAAACTCGAAGAAAAACTGGTAGAAAAGCTTGGCGAAAAACTTCTAGACACAAGTGTAGAAAAACTGTAGAAAAACATCTAGAATAATGTCTAGAAATACTTGAAGAAAAATCCAAAGAAAAATGCTGAGAAAAACCTAAAAAGAAATGTACGGTATAAGTTAACCTTACATTTAAAAAAACTTGAAAAATTTACGTAGGTATTAATTTATCTCATTGTGAAGGCACACAATCAATAATTTAACATTTCTTCTCAAATAACTGCTGGACACTTCTCATCAAAAAACTGGAATCTAAAAGAAAGGCATGTGAAGGTTTTTTCTACCGAATGGAATGTCAAAGAAATCTTACCAAAACTATAGATTCTTTAAAATCTAATCAATCAAAATCTATATATGGGACCTTCAACCATCTATAGGATAACAAAATCACAATATTTTTCCCATATTGTGAAAAATACCAGCCAAATAAATTTAATTCTCAAAATTTCCCGTCTTGTCGATACACCAGGGTACGATCCAATATTTTCGATAGAGAGCGTTCCGAAATTTATGTGTTGTAGAAATGTAAAAAGAATATCTATACAATAATAAAATACCGTTTATAATAAAACAAAGTAGCATTTGGAAAATGAAAATGCTACAATTTTCATACCCCAGCCATCTTTGACGCCGTTTTTTTTTCGATCGTATTGTATTACTTTACATTATTTGATATCACCTTCCAGTTTTTCTTAAAGTGTAACCATTTTAAGA